GACTCAAACCGGCACCTGTATGGGATGCCAGTGCTGCAGGCAGCAGCCTAAACCACTGTACCACAGTGCTGCCCCCTTCCTGAGCTATCTGGGAGGATAAAATAAAAACACAGATCTGCAGTGTTTTATAATTTTAAAAGTGTTATATAAAGGTAGGAGGTTTCTTGTATTTGTTTGTTCCTATATAAACTTTTATCTCCTTTTGGCTCACGCAACTGCAGCTTGTCCTGCCAAGATCCTGCACCTATAATCTAGCTCTGTTCTTGGCTTATATATTTATGTATCTACCTATTTTTTGCTATCTGCTCCTCACTGTTTCTTCTTCCAGGCACACCATGACTTAGGGCTCGTGCTGCTTCCACTTACCTAGAAAAACGTCCTTCTGCTTTTCACCTAGTGTGATATTTGGAGCATTGATCTGTCAGCTAGATTAGTGAGGGGCCATCAAGAGGGAAATCTTAAAGTTCTCATCCACTCCAGGTTTACTTTCTAGATGCAATGTGACATTGTGCTCAGACATATCCTTGGATAGGAAGGGCTCCAGGGCTTCCCAGACAGTGAACTGGGCTTCCCTGGTACATGGGTCATTTGTCCCACACATCCTCTGGAGGATCAAACCCCACACCTTGAATTCTAGGGATCATTTTTATGGCTGCTGCATGAGCCCTGCCTCTTAACAACGTCTTCACTACTATGTGTCCCCCACCATGAGCCAGGGATCTGCATAAACTAAGTATTCAACACTTGTCTTCCTCCTTGTGATCTTGCATGAAATACAGAATGTAGACGGAATGTGGATAGTAAAAAAAGGTAAGGATGGCAGGGTAAGAAGTGCAAAAGGTAGTGCAAAAGAGGAGGCAAGGTTGAAAAAGTTATCACTGCCTTGATTCCTGGGCTGAAATCCAAAGCAGAGTCCATCCTCAGAATGTACAAACCTACTGTTCAGAATTTACCGGAATTCTCACCAAGTTGGCAACTTACTCTTCTTTTCAAGTAGTTGCTGAGCATAGTGTGGGTTGGCTAAGTATTCATTGATGGGCTCTCCTCTTTCCCATCAGTCTGAAGAAGAAAGGCAAATAGGCAGGAGCATGGTCCCTTCCCCATTTAGAAGGCAGCTGCCACCAGGGCAAAACACACTCCTCCACCTCTCCTCCAAACTAAACAGTAGTTTGTCAAACGGATGAAAAAGAAGAAATGTGACAATTTTCCTTTATGTTAATAAATTGCTTTGGCCTAAAACACATTAATCAATTTCTTTGCAAAGTGCACACACTTCTCTATATTCTGCTATTTGCCTGGCCTTGAAAAGAAAGTCACTTTCAATCCCCGTTAAACTGTCAAGATCAAGGAGTAGGGGGTGGAAGGGCTCCCTAAATCCCAATGATTATAATGGAACCCTGCTGTGTTTCCATAGAGATATAAAGAGGATATTCTTCCCTGAATATACACTGAGGGGAGGGTTGAGGAGCAATGCTGCTGACAAGGTGTACAATTAGAAGGCATAGCAAGGAGATGAGGCATGCAGCCCCTAAGATATGAAGACAAAGGACTTAGATAACAAGAGTGGAGTGGGCAGAGAATGGGCCCCAGACAAGGTGATTTCATGTTATTGTCTCTCATCTATACAACCATCCAGTGAGGTAGCTGTTATAACCCCACATTCAGCCAAGTAATAAAAGAAACTTCATCAGCAGTCATCCGGCCAGCAAATGGTGTTCAACTTAAAGTCCTTGCTCTGTATCTATGTCGGGCTGTACTTCCAGTTGTGATTATGAGATATAGTTTACATTCTGCCTCCTGACTGCTTTCTGCCTGGGCCTGCCAGTTCTATATACATCCTGGAATCACCCACAACACTATTTTTTTCTAACAGTTATCAGAACACTTGTACATCTGGACAGATTCAGGTGATTTGTTGTTATTTGGATTATGAAGCACAGATGATTCACGTATAAGGAGAGGAAAACAGCTGATACATGATGTGTACATTCATATAATTTGCTTAGAGCACAAAGATGAAGAACTGGAAAGAAGGAATAGTTGAGCAGAATGTGAAGCTTATTTGGAAAGAAATTGCTTTATAATCACCTATCTTGAACACTAGGAAGAGCCACAAGGACAGCATCCGGGTTCATCTAACTTATTATTTCCTTGGAACCCAGCACAGTGTCAGGCTCAGAGCAAGAGGGAGGGAGGGAGGGAATGTTCTGTACCAGATAGTTTTGGTGAATCCTAGAAGGAGCGGAGGGCACTCAGTCTACTTCTATGTGGTACTCTATGATGAAGATCAATTTAAACCCAAGGTAGGGACCTAGGAGAACTGTCATTATGGATGTTTCCTACTTGTGAACCATGCATTCTCGTAGTACCTGCAGGGGGTGGGGAATCAGAATTTATGCTTCATTGTATTATGTTATTTTCTTGGTGCAATGCACAGTTTGCAGGAGACAATTCTTTCCTAGCTCAATGAATGTTTGTTGAATGACTGGCTAAATACTGAGTGCCTACTTTATGCTGTACATAGTACACACATATGTCATTCAAAACTCACTGCAATCTTATAAGTAGGTACTGTGCTCATTTTGAAGCTGAGGACACTGTGGCTTGAAAATAGGAAATGACTCGTGTAAGACCTCACAGTTAATTGCTCATAGAGCTTTGCCTCAAAAAATACAGCTTATGCTTAATCCATTATGCAGTTAACCCAGTCAGGAGTATGTCCCTATAGAGGGTTACAGGGAGGACCAGAAAGAGAATAACTGAGGGAGAAAAAAAATCTAGGTGAAGCTTATCAAAAGTACAGAGACAATTAGATACCCTCCTCTAGCACACCCCAAGAACTGGCCCCCCTATCAATCTGGCTATAGAACAGGCCACCTCTCTCTTCTGATGTTTGAGGCCTATCTCCTTCATTTCAGAGTGTTTTGTGAGCAACACCTTTGGGGGCTTCATTAGTCACACAAGCAGTCACAATTTACCTTTTCAGAGCACTAATTCTGAACCCGGGAAGTGACATGGAATAGTGGACAAGGACCAGTGTCCCTCGAACCATGGCCACTTTCTAGTCCTCACTGGGTATAAAGGCTTCTGCCAGTCATTCTGCATACCAAACCAGCATGGAGACTTCAGTTCTTCTACAAGCAACGTTTCAGCATCTTTCTGGCTAAACAAGGAACACGTGCTGTTTTCATGACTCCACACTTCTCCACTTTGCACTCCCACACTGGCTCTCATCCTTGAGCCTCCTGAGAGCTCTGGTAGGAAACCAAGCAACAAACACATCTAACGCTTAAGGGCATTTTTTATAAGGAGCCCGCCATTGACAACTGCTCTGTAAGTTAATCTGCTGGGGAGAAAAGAAGACAATCAGAGCAGAGGGAGCCAGTGCACAGCCTGCATGATGTCTAGCTGGGTTCCTTCTTTCTGTCCCAGCCCTTGAGAGGTTCTGGGGAGACTGAGCAGAGAGACACCGAAGCAGCCAGGAAGGTCTATGAGCCTGATTTCCAGGGATGCAGAAGTCAGGGCGAGAACTCAGTGCTCACTCCTCACAGGCCAGACCTTCTGCTCCCAATCCAACTCCCATGCCCTCTGGGGACCCTGGCCCCAAAGGCTTCTTGTTCACCTCACAGACCTTTGAGGTTTTGTGGTAGTCAATACAGTACAATGGGGGCTGGCATTACACATATCAATGTCCAATACACATGAGTAAAATAGCATTAAAAAATATAAGCCCATCAATGGAGGAATATTGAAATATATCTTCAGTGAGCAATGTTAAAGCTCCCAAGACACATTGTTGAGTTGAAAAGCAATTCTAAAGGCAAGTCACAATATATTAGTAGTAATAATGTTAACAATGATATTAAAAACAGTAATGGGAGCTAATATACATAGTGGGCTTGCTCTATGCCAAACACCATTATGAGCACTTTGTGGATATTATCTCATTTTATACCTATGAGGGTACTTTGAAAAGTTCATGGAAAAAAGAATTAAAAGATAAATTCATTTGGATACAAAAAATTTTTCTTAAGAAAAAGTGCAAATAAAAGATCTTCAAAAAAGTCATGAAAACACTTCACATAAATTTCAAAAATTTTTGTACCAACATAAATTTATCTTTTAATTTGATTTTCTACATAATTTTTTTGAAGATATATTTATTTATTTGAAAGGCCAAGTTTCAAAGAGAGAGGGAAAGACAAACAGAGAGAGAAAGAGAGAGAGATCTTCCATCCTCTGATTCACTCTCCAGGTGGCCTCAACAGCTGGGGCAGGGCCAGGCTGAAGTCAGGAACCAGGAGCTTCTTCTGGGTCTCCTAGATGGATGGCAGGGGCCCATGGACTTAGGCCATCTTACACTGCTTTTTTCCAGGGTATTAACAGGGAGATCAATAAGAACTGGAGCAGCCATGGCTTGAACCGGTGACCATATGGGATGCCAGTGCTGCAGGCAGTGGCTTATCCCACCCACTGTGACATAGCGCCAGCCCCAACTATGAACTTTTTAAAATACCCTTGTGTTAATCCCAAAGAAAGCCTTTATAAAAAGGTGCTATTATTATCTCTATTTCACAGATGAGGAAACTGAGCTGTCAGCTTTATTGTATATTCCTCAGTATTATTTAACACTGTAATAATGAGGCAGATTTGTGTACAAATGTGCAAAAATATTATCAAATGAGAAGCTTTAAATAAATGCAGGAGAGACTCTGGAGGCAGAATTACTGAACATTCATCTACCATTAGGCTGCCGCGGTACGTGTCTCATTTACACTTAATAACAACCCCATGAGGAAGGTGTTACAGGTGCCAATTCAACAAATGACCAACTAGAGTTTCTGAGAGGTGGTGAAGCCTTGCTAACATCACATAGCCAGTAGGTAACTAAGGATCTGGGACTTGATCTTAAAGCCCATGCCAACTGGGCACTTGCTGTTGCTAAATCGGTCCACACTGGTATGAATTTACTTTCCTTCCTCCCACTCTTTGTTTTTCAGTGTAGAGTATGACTTTCGGCAGCAGGAAGGCAGGTTCCATGAAGTTCTGCAGAGTCTGGAGGAAGCGGAACCAACTGAGGAGGCATCTCCTCCACCAAAGTCCCCAGCAGAACCCCCGGCCCCTGAGAAACAGGACTTAAGGCGGAAAACCAAGAAGGTGAAGAAGAAATGCTTCTGGTGGATCTGAGCTGGTTGGGACCATCTGTTCTGCCTTCCCCATGTTCCTCCATGTATCTCCCTGAGGTGGGGAACCACTGCCCTCAAGGGCCTCTCTGCTCCTCTGCGAAGGCCCTGGGCTTCAAGCCACTTCACCTGCAAACCAGGAGAGTCTTGGAGCTGGTAGAGCTGCTGCTGGACAACTGATCACCAACCTAACCCCAGGGCATGCCAGGGCTGGCTGAGGACTTCCTCGATGCTGGGATGATCACTTAGCGAGTTCTCCATCACTCACATCCAAGCCGCCTCCTGGTCTGTGAGTTCAGATTCCCACTACAAGCAAACCCCCCACTGCACCTTCCAGAACCTCCATAATATCAACAATTGCTTCTTATCTTGAGCTCATCAACCCCAAAGAAAAGATTAAAGTGTTGCACAGAGCAGAAAAACAGAGGAGGGTTATAAGAAGGTACTCCAGAAAATAAATTAGATAAAATGGCAGTTTTCTAGCATATCAGTGTACATAAGCACAAAAGAAGTGGGCAGGGCATAGAGATGCAAGATCACCCTGTTGTGTTGGGGTCATCTTCATTTTAATCAGCTCCTTGATCCCAAGTCAAGGAGTTGTCATTCATGCTGAATGGGCCTTCCTCTCTGTGATGGACTAAGGTCACCCCAGGGTGTAAGGAACTTTTGGTGTGGCTGTCCTGTGCGATGGGCATTCAAAAAGTGTTTCAGTGGTTGTGGCTGTTCCAGAGCATCACAAGTCTCTGCCCAGTGCTTGAAACTGCCTAGCCACTAGATAGAATCTGGTTTGGGTTTAATCTCTAGGATTCCACATTTCATTCATCTGCAATATTGAATATCATGAGACCCAGCAATCTGTCACTTACATCTGATCAGTGACATAAATAAGGCTAAGACACAATGCAACACTATTTCTCATCCATTCATCCCTGCAACATCAACCTTGTAGATAGGTTCAAACACATATTAACGTGCCCAGCTTCCCTTCCTTGTAACCAGGCTAAGGCCACCTGACGGAAGAAGCAGCAGGACTACGGATGAGGATATACTTGTTTCCACTTTAGTCTTAACAGACCTTTCTTTCCCAAAGTCTGAGTTCTTCAAGGTCTGGCTCGTTCATTTGAAAAGACCCCAGTCAAACTGGCACAGCTGAATGAACCACTAAAGTAATATAATTAAGTAATTGCTCCATACTCTTGGAGATTGAGGGGTCTGATGGCAAGGCTCAGATTCCGCCTCATAAGTTCCCTGCCAGCCTGTGGTTCAACTGATGCTATTAGAAAGGGATCCTAAAACTAAATAAACACTAAATGAAGAAGGCACTTCAAAATCCTCTTGGCTGAAGGCCCCGCGTCTGAGTTAGATCTTTGTGCAGCACAGCCTCCTGTGTGCACACAGGCTGTTTGTCCCCCACTGCAAACTGAAACCAACTGAGCAAACCACTCCAACAGTTTCACCTTCCCTTGTCATAGCCACTGCAGTGCATAAAGCTATTTCAGTGGGAGCAAGAGGGAAATTTGGCAAGGGATCTCAGTTTGCACTATTTAAGTCTTGGATTGTCATTCAAGATGTTCTTGTTCTGTTTCTAGTGTAATGTTGAAACCCACAAAATGAGACCAGAATACATAATGTCAAGTCAGAATTAAGATAAATACACTTGTCGTACTTAAGAAGCCACATTTCAATAAGATATGCTACCCCTGGCTCAAAGCCACCCATCATTCTTCCTGTATCCATACAGTCAGCTCTCAGTTGGCTCCAGCAATGGAAAAGAACAGCATAGAGGATAATCCAATAAAGCAAAACCATTTGGGATCTCTTATGTAATTTTATCTTGTAATAGAGCTTCGATCTTAAGTTGCTTGGCTTATGCTAATTTCAAATGAATTTATACTCTTGGACATCATGATAGAATGAAAATAACCCTGTTCCTAGAATTAACAGACCCAGGCAACAGAGCAGTCTATTCCACTAACTTTTGGCAAATTGCTTAAGATTTCAGGGCCTGTTTGTCCATTCTTGAATAGAGATAAGAACACCTACTCTGCTGTAAAGATCTGTGCATCATCCAACATCAAATGAGCAGAATGACTCAGAGCTGAGCTGGCTTCTTTGCCAAAGTTAGCCTGGAATGATGAAAAGATGGTTGAGGCAACTCATACAAAATTAAGAAACTCCTGAAGTCATATACCTGTGGCAAGTTGGGGACCTCAACTAAACTCTCAATTGAATTAAGTGAAATTGGGCTTAGAAAAAATGTTGGCATTTCTAGAAATAAAATCAACTGAGCTGATAACAATTCTATACCAAAGCACAATACTGCGTTTGGTTGGGTCACCCCCTCTGAAACTGGAAAGGAGGTCTCTTCTGAAAACTGAACATTTAAAATCATTATGAGGAAAAAAGATTAAAAATAAGATCCTGCTGAACAAAAGTGATCATCTCTATGTTTAAAAAAACCACACACGCATATACAAAAACTCTACACTTGTATGCTCATGTGAAAACCACTGCTTCTTTGTAAAATAATATATAACATCGACCATGATATTCTACAGAAATGCTATATGTGAAGTTCTATGGTTTTATGAAGAGATATTCATTTAGCAAAAATTACTTTTATAACAATGAAGGGGAAAAGACCAATACATCAACTTAAATTGCAGGAGTTTATGTAGCTGCTTTCTCTATAGTTAAAAAATGCATACTCACTATCCTTGGAACTTAATACCAGCTCATCTCTATATAGAGCACCTTCTTAAAGAGATGTACTAATGTAAGGTTTTGTAAATTTCTAAACTGTTTTAAATGGGATATTATCTTTTGCAATAAACTTACATATTTTTCCTAGGTTTTAAGACTCCATTATTAGCTTGACTTGGTTTGGGTTATAAAATCTAAACTTAAGAAGGAAGTCTCAATGGTCCTAAGGGCAAGGACGAATTGCATTATGATTGCATTTAGATATTTCTCAGGGAGACAAATAAACAAAGAAGAGATTCAGGACTTTGTGTCGCAATTATCTCATGGGAATCACCTGTATCCTGGGAGCCAGGAAGGAAACAAGAATGAATAGAGCTGCTCTCTCAACTTCATCCAGGGGGACACGTATTCATGATTTTTATAATTATGCTCATGCACCTGAAGTCTATATTCAAAATTTTCTTTACTCATTTTCCCCTTAATTCTTTTCCTTAAAAGGTAACTTTACATCATCAACATGAGGGAAAATCCTGAAGATGAAATCAAAATAATTTTATTAAAGTCTTGCTAAACACTTTTGAACACTGAAGGTGCTAAGCCCCACATCAACTTTCTTTGTTAAAAGGGATAATAGAAAAGTCAACACAAACTATAGCCACATTCGCATCAAACTCATTGTCTATATGACTAATCAGGGGAGTTGAGAAAGAATTGAAACTAACTTTCCCTTCAAGTGCTTCTACTTTTTTTCCCCCTGCCTTGTCCACAAACCACCTAAACTCATTTTGTTCACACCTGGAGTGTGAGCTGCCCATTCTGGGAGACTTCAACGTAGGGAAAAACAAAAACCAGACTCTGGACACAGAATCAGAAGCTTTGGGTTGAGTGATCTTGGACAAGTTACTTAATCTCTGGGAGTTTCTGCTGTCTCTTCTTATAATGCAAAACATAACCCCCACCTTACAAGGGTTCCTAACAATTAACCTAGTAAATGCCCTAAGCACAACAGAGGGTACACAGCAGGTGCTCAATAAATGTGCATTCATTTATTTGCTATTGAAGTAGTTTCCAAGAGAAGATGGAAGACGCTTCAATGAAGCTATAGTGGTTTTCAGAAACAAGCCCAACATTTTCTTAGGACAAGGAACAAACACTTGCGGCCTTAACAGAACCATTAAAAACCATGTCGATGAATATGAAGTAACAAAGTCAGAGGTGATTCAGAAAAACACCCTGCGGGGCATGTAAAACACAGCATAGCACTCTGGGGAATGAAGGATGCTTGTAGTCTGGGATCGAATACTGTAGAGGTGAAAGAGACTTCCAGAGCCAAGACTTCCATTTGAAGCAGGAGATGATTAAGTAAAGCTAGGTAACTTGCCCAAGGGCTTGTGACAGCCAGAGGAGAAGTAAGAGCTGGGAGACATGTGTGTGTTAGGTGGGAGGCATGAGGGGCCAGGCCATTCCAGGAGTCACTGCGGCTAGACTTGAAACTCAGCCTTCCTTCCATTAGGGAGCCAAGTCCTCAGCACAACCTTCACTTGAAAAAGCTCTAATTTTAAGCTGCTTGAGGCAACTTGCTGTATGCTAAAAACACATTTCTTTTTTTAAGTTCCAAGAAACAAAATAGTTTTATGATCATTACGCCCATAAAGCATTGCTTGCAAGAAAAAATGCTGGGGGACAAATCCAAAGCCAACACTGACTGCGTTGGGTGAAAACCACATTCTACCGAGTCCTTGATCATAACCCCAGCTTCGGTACCTTCACCTCAATCTCCTCCTCATCTTCTTTTAGCCAACATACAGCCTACGTTTCCACTGACCACCTCACACCAGCCCTGCCCCTGGCTGGCAGCAAGCCTCAACCCTCAGCCAGGGGAGAGCAGGGAGGCCTCTGTTGGCAGCCTACAGAGCTCAGTTTTCTCACTGTCAGATCAGCCAGGTGGCAGGTCCCTGTGCCTCTCCACTACGGGCTTCCTGTTCCAAATCACTGTCATCTCTCAACTGGCCTCTGCAGGAACTTTGTCCCCCCTCATTCTCACTCCCATCTCTTCCATTCTGTACACAGCAGCTGCATGTTTAGTTTTCTATTATGTAAGCCAAAGACCTGAAACTGCATTAACTGTAAAGAAAGAGGTCTATCTAGCTCTCAGATCTGGAGGTTCAGGGGAATAGCTCTGGCATCAGTGCAGCTCTAGTGAGGGCCTCATGGTCAAGGGCAATGGCAGCAGCACATGACAGGAGCAAGAGATCATGGCACAAAACAGGAAGTCAGAGAGACTGGGTACCCACAATCACTTCCTGTGATGGCAGTGCCTCCAGTGACCTATGGGATGCCCACTAGGACCCTATAAGAGGTCTTAAAGATCCATGCCACCCCTATGCTGCATAATGAGATCCAAGGCTCGAACGCATGAATGGCAGCTAAAGTACTCATTGCAACATGTAGACCTGCGCCATGTCACACTCTGGCCTGAAAGCACACAATGACTTTCCAATAAATCTAGGAAGTTAAGACCAGGTCTGCAAGCCACAGTCCTGGGGCCTGCGTGACCTGTCCCTGCCTCTCCCATAAACTCCTACACAGGCCCCTTTGCTGTCTGCTCTCCAGCCACATTGAGCCTTCTTGAAATCCTTGCATTCAACCTACTAACAACCCCTAAAAGTCCTGTGTTCACCGTTCCTGCTGACTGGCATAACCCCACCACCCTCCTTGGATAGTTTCCAGTCCAGCTCCTCTGGGGCTTTCTAGATAACACCATGCATAGCTATCACCCCCTACTGCCCCCAGACCACCTCCAAATGATCCTTTTAGAACTCACTTAGCACCAGGGCCCCTACCCTCAAAGCTCTTGGCATAGTTGTCCTTGTACATACAGCTGTGTCATTCTTTGATGAAAGTATTTCTAACTAGAGTATAATCTTCCTAAGGTGGAATCCTGCTTATTTTTTTGGCTTGCTTTTGTATCTTCAGCACTTACCACATGGGATTTGAATATGTGCTGCAGGAATAAATTAATGAATAAATTGGATCCAGTGCAGAAAACACTGAAACAAGATTGCCAGTTTTTACCTTGGCCATCAGACCACACACAGGGCTGCTACCATTGGCATACAGGATCTGTGTTCCAGGGATTAGGGTTGTCAGTGGGTAGCGTGCCCAGGGCTTATAACTCCACTATAGTCCACATGGAATACACGAGCCAGCAGCATTACAAGTCTACTGTCCTTTCCCAGTGACACCCCAGTTCTTTTGTCCTGAATATTGACAGCCCAGCTTAACCTTGTTTCAGAGTAAATTGCCATCATAATTAAATCCCAATGCATTTTGCACATTTTACCAAGATACTGCCTTATTGTGTGAAAGAGAAAATGAGTTCTGAAATTAAAGCAGATTGTTAACTATTTTTGCTGCAATGTTTCTATTAAAATGCCAGGATTTATTACATGTGACCCAGTCCATTCCAGACAAAGCACAATTTAAAAGAGACAGTGACTGCTTAACTACAGGAGCATTTGGGGGACATCATTGTGCCTTGGCTTCCACCGCGGGTAAAATGAAAAGACAATAAAATCACACCAAAGGATGATTTGCTCCACAGCAAATAAAAGCTTTGTTAGCATGAATGGCTTTCACAAATTCTCGGAATCCATAAGTATATTATAGTAAATTTCACTCAAATGAAACCCATATATTTTTCTCCTGACAAAACCTCAATGTGTACTTTTTTTTAATCATCAGTTAAACAGAGTGACCCCTACCCAGTGTGTCAGCTTGGTTTCCCCGGCAGCACACACAGCATTGGGATACCGGATTGTGCCAGCAGAAGAGCCTTCTCGCTCATGAACCAAAGAGGCTCAGTTGTCAAAGCTGCTCCAGTGAGCACAGGAAGCCTGCCTGGTTGCAACCCCACAGGCAGAAATCACCAATGGGTGATAGAGGGAAAGGGAGGCTATTGTTACTGCTTGCTTAGTTGCAAGCCATAAAACAAGCACCTCCTGACCAGTTAGGATCTCTTGGATTCCATCCCTGCCTCTGCCCCACAAAAATGCACCCAGCAGCCCCAAGAAAACTTCTCAGGCCATAATTACTTTTCTCAGTACAAAGCTATTGAGTACCTTCTCTGGGCCAGGCTGTGTGCCAATGGCACACAAGACTGAGGACACAACTCTTGCCTCACAGAGCGTGTGCTCAGTGTGTGGCTTCCCTTAGACAGCACGTGTGCCTCTCTGATCTGCCCCAGCCATCTGCCTTCGGCCCTCTTGCTACAGTCCTTATATGCTCTGGAAGCGATTCCTCATCCCCTCCCCCTCACTCCCAGATGCTAAACTCCCCAAGACTGTAAGCAGCCTTCCTCTCCTTGCAATGTCCAGGGCCAAGACTTTGTTTAGATGAAATGAGAGACTTCAGAACATGAGTTCTTGTCCCTTCCCCTGGTCTTCAAAGTCCATCTTCCCTTCTCGTGCCCCAGCCCCACCAAATCTAGTCTCTCAGAGCTGCCTGGGGGCACTCCCAGACCCATCCCAGGCTCTTATATCTCTAATTACATCCCACCACCACTCCAGAGCATAAAGTTCCGTCCACAGCAAAGAGACTTCTTAAAATCTGACTGCAGCCCAATGCTTACAGCCTGGCTTCCTGCAGTCCACTGTCCCCGTGCCCATCTCATTGCCACTTCCCAAAAGTCAGAGGATGATAAGTATCGGTGCCTTCACACACGCTGTTCCCTCCACCTGGCACACTATTCCATTATCTATCTACTACAGAAAATAATCATCATTTGAGGGGAATAAGGAGAACAGCAACATTACTACTCACAGTGATAATAAAAGCTCTTGCTTCAAAAAGTTACAAGGGGATCATAACTAAATGCTTTCCTTCCACCATCTCATGTAGTCCTCCAAAACTACTACAAGGCAGTTTATGATGACCCCCACTTTCCAAAAGGCTAAACTGAGGCCTGGGGAGGGATGACTAATCTGCCCAAGTGCATGGGTACAAGGTGGCAAAAAATGGAGTTCTTTCAAAGTCTCCTGAACTTGAGTGCCTGGGCTCTGACCTCCTGTGTCAGACAGCAACTTGCAATTTAAATGTCAGCTCCTCTCTGATCATACCCCCCCACCCCCCGCCATGGAATTAGTCCC